TAAATTGACTTCATTAATTTTTTTGAACCACCTCTTAAGAAAATCTAAAAAATATGAATGGAATGATAAATCACAAGTACAAACTCATCATATTTTTTGCATTTTAGATAGGATTTATTCAGCAAAATTTAAGGGTGACGTCATCAATTTTTTTAGGAGGGATGAACAAATACATTTTGAACAAAAGTTTACCATGCTTATAATAACTTTAAAATATTCCCAAGATTTCAAAGCATTCGGTTTTGTAATTCCTCATTAAATCGATAAAATAAATTCACGTCTTCATTAATTTTTTTGAGTCACCCTGCATATGCAAATCCAAAAATATGAATGGAATGATAAATCACAAGTACAGACTCATCATATTTTGTACATTGTAGATACGATTTATTCGGAAAACTTTTGAGCTGACCTCATCAGTTTTTTGTAGAAGATAACCAAATATATTTTGACTAAAAATTTATTATGCTCTTTATAACCTTAAAACATCTGCAAGATTTCAAAGCATTCGGTTTTGTAGTTCCTGATTAAATCAATAAAATAAATTTACGCATTCATTAATTTTTTTGAGTCACCCTGTATATGCAAATCGAAAAAATTTGAATGGAATGATAAATCACAAGAAGAGACTCACCATATTTTGTACATTTTAGATAGGATTTATTCAGCAAAATTTTGTGGTGACGTCATAAATTTTTTAGGGGGGACGACCAAATACGTTTTGATCAAAAATTTACCATGCTTATGATAATTTTAAAATATCTTCAAGATTTCGAAGCATTCGGTTTTGTAGTTCTTGAGTAAATCAGTAAAATAAATTTACGCTTTCATTTATTTTCTTGAATCACCCTGTATATGCAAATCCAAAAAATATGAATGGAGTGATAGATCACAAGTACAGACCGATCATATTTTGTACATTTTAGATACGATTTATTCGGCAAATTTTCGAGCTGACGTCATCAAGTTTTTGGAGGTGATAAGCAAATATATTTTGACTAAACATTTATTATGCTCTTTATAACCTTAAAACATCTGCAAGATGTCAGAGCATTCCGTTTTGTAGTTCCTGATTAAATCAATAAAATATATTTACGCATTCATTAATTTTTTTGAGTCACCCTGTATATGCAAATCCAAAAAATATGAATGGAGTGATAGATCACAAGTACAGACTCATCATATTTTGTACATTTTAGATATGATTTATTCCACAAACTTTTGAGCTGACGTCATCAAGTTTTTGGAGGGGATAAGCAAATATTTTTTGACTAAAGATTTATGATGCTCTTTATAGCCTTAAAACATCTGCAACATTTCAAAGCATTCTGGTTAGCAGATTAAAAATTAAATTTCAAAATGTTGTTTTATAATTTTGATTTTTTTCCAAAAATCTGGACGTTTTGGGTGAAAAGTCGATTCAGAGTTGTAAACTACATGTGTAGGACTATGTTATTTTATACAATTGAAAACCCATTTACTATGTACAATTTTGAAGTGACGTCATCGCATTAGTGGTGGGGATGATTAGACAAATTTTGGTTAGCGTTTTACCATCTACATGATATTCTTAATATAAGTACAAAATTTCACAACAATCGGTCGAGTACTTTCGGAGATTATCTGTCTAATAAAAATCCGGGACGGCAGACGGACAGACGGACAGACGGACGGACAAACGGACGGACAGACGGACGGACAGACGGACAGACGGACAGACGGACAGACAGACGGAAATGGGAGACCTATTTCTTCGTCTTCTAGGGGTCATGAAAGATCGAGAAAACGTAAAAGTAGAGAGTCGGCCGACGGACTCGATTACAATACTTACTTCGGGAAGTAAAAATCGAAAAATTGAAAAATCCAGAAACTAAAAAATCAAAAATTGAAAAATATAAATATCGAAGAACTGAGAATTTGAAAAATCGAACAATCGAGAATTCGAGAAATCGAGAAATTAAGAAATCAAAAAATCTAAAATTGGAGAAATTGAAAAATTAAATATCGAAAAATTGAAGAATCGAAAAATTGAAAAATCTAAAGTGCCCAAAATCGAAAAACCGAATTGTACAAAATTGAAAAATTGAATTTTAAATAAAAAAACTGGATAAATTGAAAAGTTGAAAAAAAGAAAAATCAAAAAATTGATCAATTGAAAAATCGAAAAGTCGAAAAACCGAAAAATCCGTTAATCGTGAAATTGCGAAATCCAAGAATCGAAAATTTAGAAATATCAAAAATTGAAAAAAAATTGGGAACCCAAAAATCTAAGTAAAACTGAAAAATCGAGAAATCTAAAAATCGAAAAATTTTTAAAATTTGAAAAATCGAGAAATCAAGAAATCGAATAGAAAAAAATCGTAAAATCGAAAAATAGAAAAATATTGAATGTAAAAAATCAAAAAATTGAAAAATCAAAAAACCGAGAAATCGGAAAATCGAAAAATTGAAAAATCTAAAGTGTCTAAAAACGAAAAATCGAATGGTGCAAAATTGAAAAATTAAATTCTAAATAAAAAAAAAAACTGGATAAATTGAAAAGTTGAAAAAAAGATAAATCGAAAAATTGATCAATTGAAAAATCGAAAAGTCGAAAAACCGTAAAATCCGTTAATCATGAAATTGCGAAATCCAAGAATCGAAAATTTAGAAATATCGAAAATTGAAAAAAATTGGGAGCCCAAAAATCGAAGTAAAACTGAAAAATCGGGAAATCTAAAAATCGAAAAATCGAAAAAATTTTAAAATTTAAAAAATCGAGAAATCAAGAAATCGAATAAAAAAATCGTAAAATCGAAAAATGTAAAAATATTGAATGTAAAAAATCAAAAAATTAAAAAACAAAAAACCGATAAATCGGAAAATCGAAACATGCTAAAATTGAAACCCTGGAATAATGAGAAACGAAACATCGAGATCGAGAAATCGAGAAGTCGAAAAATCAAGTGTCCAAAATCGAAAAATCGAATAATAGAAAATTGAAAAATTGAAAAAAATGGAAGGCGAACAATTGAAAAAAAGAAAAATCGAAAAATTTGTCAATCAAAAAATCGAAAAGTCGAAAAACCAAAAAATCGGTTAATCCAGAAATTGAGAAATCCAAGAAATGAAAATGTAGAAATATCAAAAATTGAAAAAAAAATGGGAACCCCAAAAGTGAAAAATCGAAGAAAAACAGGAATCGAAAAATCGAAGTCGGAAAATTGAAACACCAAAAACCAGAAAAATCGAAAAATCGCCGAAATAAAGACCTGAAAACCCAAAAAAATCGAGAAATTGAGAAGTCGACTCGAAAACCCGAAGACCAAAAAATCGCTTAATCGAGAGATTCAGAAATCTTAAAATTAAAAATTTAGAAATATCAAAAATTGAAAAAAAAAATGGGAAATAAAAAAATGAAAACGTTAAAGAAACGGAAGTTTGAATAATCGAGAATTGAGGAAAAAATCGACAAATCGAATAGTACAAAATTCAAAAATTGAATTTTAAATAAAGAAAAGGATAAATCGAAAAATTGATCTACTGAAAAATCGAAAAGTCGAAAAACCAAAAAAATCGGTTAATCGAGAAACTGAGAAATCCAAGAGTTGAAAATTTAGAAATATTATAAATTGAAAAAAAAAATGTGGACCCTGAACTGAAAAATTGAAAAATCGAAGAAAAACTGAAAAATCGATAAATCGAAGTCGAAAAATTGAAACATCAAAAACCTGAAAAATAAAAAAATCGAAAAATAGCAGAATTGTGAAACTAAAACATCCAGAAATCGAGAAGGCGAAAAATGTAAAAGTCGAAAACCCAAAAAATGGGTTAATCGAGAAATTGAAAAATCCAAAAATCGAAAATTTAGAAACATCAAAAACTGAAAAAAAGGGAATCTCAAAACTGAAAAATTGAAAAATCGAAGAAAATCCAAAGAATCTAGAAATCGAAATCAAAAATTGAAAAATTGAAACATCAAAAATCGAAAAATCGAAGAAATGAAGAACTGAAAAACTGAAAAATCGAAAAAACATCACGGGAGTTCTATACGTGATGGCTTCCATTCTCTCTGTGTTTTTTCTGGTGAAAATACTCGCCGGAGGCATCGGTGAGGCTCTTCAAGTAGACTTACTCTCCGTTGCAGTTGTGCCAGGTTTTGTACGTGTTACCTACTTTCTAAGAACTTTTTCTTACTCGTTCGTTGTAGTTCTTGTTATTGTCAATAAATACGTTTAGATGTAACGTTGTTGTGTTTCATTTTTTAGAAGACAGGGAACGCCTTGGGTACTACCGTGGCTACCAACGCCCTATTAGAGCGAAATGGAGAAAGAATGGCCTTTGTTACCAACAAAAGCTTTAAATTAACATTTTAAAAAGATTTCGTTTTGACTTATCAGACACTACATGCTGTTTTTACTAGCAAGAAATTAAGGTCCTTTATTCTCCTTGCTTGTCATTAACAAGCCAAAAAAAGGAAACGACTTTTATGAGTTATGAAAGCTCTAAAATGAGACTTTATTGTAATTACGCTTCTCTGTTCTCTTGTACGTAAATTCGAGGTCTTTGCGAATATTAAACTTCCTAAAAACTATTAATACCTCCTGTATTAAGCAGACGTTCTCTTCGAGTTACATTCAGCTCCAACTCTCACACACAAAACAAAGTAAACAGCGCCTTCAAGCCCACTAAAGCCATAAAAATCACTCAAACAAATCTTCCATTAAAACAAATATAAAAGTTTCACAATGCACCAACGTATCCGGACCCAAGATAAATACAAGTGTTATATAAGAGATAAATTGCTCATAAAATGATCATTTATCCAGGACGTGACTATACATAAATTGCCCTGAGAGCCGAAAACGGAATACATAACCTGCTCCCTAATTAGCTCTCCTCTAGAAGCCGTGCTTTATCCTTTTTTCGTCCAGTCCTCCCTTTTTTCCCCGGTCACGTAAACCAGCGACCCTCAACATATTTCACCGTTTTTAAAACCGAGCGTTCGTTTAAATTCGCAGGAGTACATCCGGCAGAGCAGGGAGCAGCAGCTCAACGAGCTGGACAAACAAGAACCAGCTGACAAGAAGCTGTCGAAATCGGCTTCCAGGTCGCGTTCCAACAGCTCGCCCTCGATGAACTCGGGCCACTTCGACGTGGCGAACGCCGCCACCACCCCCTGCTACGTGCCGGGCGGCGAGCTGCTGCCGATCCTGATCCGGAACGAGCGCAGCATGAGTCCTCCGAACGGGGATGCCTACCATACCAACATCTACACGGTGAGTTTATTAGACGATAAATTAAAAGAGGATTTAATTGGTTGCGGTGTCCAGGTGGACAACGAGCCCATGCCCGAGATGTGCGACAGCGCCTGCCAGACCCGGGAGAGCCTCTTCACCGCCGCCGGCTACAGCTCCGGCAACAGCACGCCCAACCACAGCGTGCACACCAACTCGCCGCCGGCGCCCTTCAGCACCTTCGGCTACAAGAAGGACGCCAAGTTTAAAGCCGAGGCGAAGATCGAGGTGGCCTCGAGCAAGAAGTCCAGCAAGTTCGAGGACAAGCGCCGCCCCTACAGCGTCCAGACGACCAAATCGGCGCCCGACGTCATCGTCACGCACTGACAGTTGTTGAACGCCGAGTGGGAGCCGTACAAGCGACGCCACCCCCGGCACTTCCTCCGCACGACCGACAAACTCCTCCAAGGGGAGCGCAGCGTCGAGACGCAGACTTGCGACGCGGATTTCGACGATACGTGATATCGCGCCAAAGGACACTTGTTTTTCACGGTTTTATCGCGGATTTCTTTCGGGTGATACGTGAGGGGTGCGCGAGTGAAGTGAGTCGGCTCCGAGGGGTCTGCGGGGGTGTTATTTTCTTGTTGAGGGAGAGTGCTCTGCAAACTGGGTACAGTCCCGTTTGCAGAACACTCCGTATTGTATATTTTGTTAATAAACTAATCAAGTAAGTAAAACCTTCCAAACAATGAGTTGCACCTACCTGCCTTGCTGTTGAACTTTAAATAAGTTGACTTTACCGATTTCGAGGGATTTTACTGACCTAGTTAGAATAATAAATTGAAAATGTCTTTTAAACTCTAGATAATTTTATTACAAGATTTGTAAAAAAAGAAAAACGGGAAATTGGAACTCGGCGTCACAGCCACATTGTATTTCAAGTAAGATCTGTAAATATATCACAACAATAAATTATCACAAGAAATCCGTTTGTCGTAAATAAGGAAAGTTCCGACTATTCTCATAAACTCCCGACTAAAAAGAAAAGCCAAGACTCGACAAAAGAACTTTATGGATCCGAAACAAGAACTAATAAAAATGGTGTTAAAAGGAGGAAGATGGTGACAGCACAAACCAAACAAATTCAACAACTCCTCTGAATATTTATTAATTTAGACTCTGTAATTGATTAACAAGGTTTAGAAAACTTCTCTTAACTAAATAAAACAAAAAAGCAAAAGTGCACAAAAAGGTAAGTATATTTAACTACAAACAACCCTAACTGTGCCCTTCTAATTCCCACCCCCCAATTACACACTCTCCGGCCCCTGCGTGTATTCGAAAACGCTTCCACGTTTCACGTAGGTCCCAGGGGCGGTTTTACCCTTCTCGTCCCCGTTTCGCTCGTCCTGCCAGTCTTCTTCAAGGCCGTACCCGCCGCCGCCCGGTGTGTGCAACTGGAAAATGTCCTGAAACATCTCGAATTAATGCAGGTCTAATTGAAGGCGACGTAACTCGCAATTAAAATCGAGTCGAAACGAAATTATTTCTTTAATCTCGTTTCGGCGTAAGCTGGGTTGGTCGGAATTTAACCACGACGTGTGTGGGACGGAAAAGTGGGGTGAGGGAGGTTGTTAAAAAGTCGAACTGTTGCTGGATAACGAGATGGAATGCGACGAGGATGATGGATTACAAAAAACACTTTTGGAAATTAAACATGTTGTTTCGGAATTTAGGTTCAGCGGAGTTTTAAGTTGAAAAAGTGTTTCAGGTTTTTTAATTCGGTAAAATCTATACACTTCGTTACATAATAAATCAATAAGTCCGCTATCGTGATGGATAAAGCGAGTTACGAAATAAAACTACGGAACAAAGTCGAAAAACGGGAGATAATGGGCGACCTTGCCCCACTTTCAAGGGCAAGTTGACAAACATGTTACTGCTAGAAGTCGAGAAACTCTCATTGATTTTAGTGAGCGGTCGGAATAGTCCGACAAATTCCAAATGGGATCACTTAACTGCACACAGATCGGTTCTATTCGGCCCTAACTGATGATTGAAAATAGCTGTAATTCATTATGCAGTTTGGCAGTCCGTTTGCGGTTCGGCGTCTATCCAAAGGGTGTGAATTTAGTCGCAAAACCGCTTAGGAATTTATCAAATATCCTTAACGAGGTTCGCTAATTTTGTATCTGAGAAGCTAATAATATCCACCTTCGGAGCATTCCTTTAACAAAGAACACTGGGGCGTTTTTGTTCGGAAACGTCAGTTATGAACTAAATAACAAAGAGGCTGACGTTGATGTAAGACGCTGCACAATGAGTATTGACTGTTAAAACACTATAGTGGGAGTAATTGAATCAAGCGAAATGGAATATGAGCGACAGTGGTCTTTAAACAAGTCTCGGAGACGTCTAATCAGGACTGCAGAGTTGCACTTTTGTCTCTAGTTTCCCAAACGAACGCATTTTTTATTTGTAGTTGGCGCAGTGTCGCTGAGCGTCGAACTAACCAATCAGAGTCGATGCCCTTGTAAATGTTGGAGAAAAGTGAAACTTTTTTAATTACGTGACAGCATTGAAGTATTATGTCACAGTTCCTTTTTTATTGTCAGTTCACGCTTTCAGCTCCTTTATTTTCAAAGAATTTACACCGTTAATAGAAAAATGTTCGATTTAATTAAATTCCGGGGTGTTGTGACCACGGAGCTGTAATAAGTGGAAGACGGGGAGCAGTTAAGGTAAGATTAACACAAGATATTCCTGGCTACTGTGCTCCGAAGCACTTTGTTACCAGGAATTTCTCTTTTCTGAAAAAAACCAAAATTGAGCCCTTCCGCCTTATTCGTTTATTTATCCGAAAAGTGTTAATAGTTATGTATCAAAGTTGCGTCTTTTCCGCTGAACATACTATATATTGTCTGAGATTTATATTCTTTATGAAAAAAGAAAAAACCAATATCAGATGTTTTTAAAATATGTGCATTGCAAAAAAAAATTCTCAGGATACTAATCACATAAAGTGTCCACCAGGTTTTCCTATTGCATTCTAAAGTTTCTCAAATCCATTCACTCTGAGTTTTATCTTTTCGTAATTTTTCTCAATATCACGAATTTGTGTGTATTTTTGCCTGATCTCATCAATATCTTCCCAGAATTTTTCTCAGGATCACGAATCTGTGCATATTTTTGCTAGATTTCATCAATTAACAGAGAAAAGTTCATACTCGATTACAGATACCTACGTCCACCAAAATTTTGACTAAATTTTAGGTTTTCTAAACCGATATTGAGTTGCTCGCATTGTTATCTTCTCGAAATTTTTCTAAGACTCGCGATTCTCTGTGTCTTTTTGCCAGATCTTATCAATGTCTTCTCGGAATTGTTCCCAGAATCACGACTCTGGGAGTATTATTGCCAGATCTCAAAATATTTTCTCGAAATTTTTCTCAGGATCATGAATCTGTGTCTATTTTTACCAGATCCTAAAAATATCTTCTCCGAATTTTTCACAGGATCACGAATCTGTGTGTATTTTTGCCAGATGTCAAAATACTTTCTAGAAATTTATTTCAAGATCACAAATCTATGTATTTTTGTCAGATGTCTTCAATATCTTCTCGGAATTTTTCTCAGAATCACGAATGTGTGTGTATTTTTGCAGATCTCATAAATATCTTCTCGTAATTCTGCTCAGGATCACCAATTTGTGTGCTTGTAAGCATTTTTGCCAGATGTTATGAATATCTTGTAGTTTTTTTTTCTCAGGATCACGAATCTGTGTGCATTTTTACCAGATCTCAAAACAATTTCTCGAAATTTTCTCAAGATCACGAATCTGTGTCTATTTTTGCCAGATCCTGTCAATATCTTCTCGCAGTTTTTCTCTGGATTACAAATCTCTGTGTATTTTTGCAGATCTTATCAATATCTTCTTACATTGTTTGGTAGGATCACGAATCTGTGTATTTTTGTTAGATCTTATCAATTAATGAGACAAATTCAGTTTCGTCTGCAGATCTGATAAATGTCTTCTCGTAATTCTTTTCCGCATCACGAATTTGTATGCATTTTTGCCAGATCCCATAAATATCTTCCCGGAATTTTTCTCAAGATCACGAATCTGTATGTACTTTTGCCAGATCTCAAACTACTTTCCCGAAAATTTTCTCAAGATCACGAATCTCTGTCTAGTTTTGCCAGATCTCATCAATATCTTCTCAGATTTTTTCTCAGAATCTCGAATATGTGTGTAGTTTTACAGATCTCAGAAATATCTTGCCGTAATTCTTCTCAGGATCCCGAATTTGTATGCATTTTTGCCAGATCTCATGAATATCTTCTAAGATTTTTTTCTCAGGATCACGAATGTGTGTACCTTTTTGCCAAATCTTATCAATGTCTTCTCGGAATTTTTTTCAGGATCACGAATCTGTGTCTATTTTTACCAGATTTAATAAATATCTCCCCGGAATTTTTCTCAGGATCACGAATTTGTATGCGTTTTTGCCAGAACTCATGAATATCTTCTAGGATTTTTTTCTCCAGATCCCGAATCTATGTCTATTTTGACCAGATCTCAAAATATTTTCTGGAAATTTTTGTCAGAATCACGAACCTGTGTCTATTTTTACCAAATCCAATAAATATCTCCCCGAAATTTTTCTCAGGATCACAAATCTATGACTGTTTTTACTAGATCTTAGAATATTTTCTCGGTATTAATTCTCAGGATCACGAATCTGTATCTATTTTTACCAGATCCATAAATATCTTCCCGGAATTGTACTCAGGATCACGAATCTGTGTGTATTTTTGCAGATCTCATCAATATCTTGTCGAAATTTTTCGCAGGATCACGAATTTTGTGTAAATTTTTACAGATCTCGTAAACATCTTCTCGTAATTCTTCTCAGGATCACGAATCTGTATTAATTTTTACTAAATCTCATGAATATCTTCTACGATTTTTTCTCAGGATAACGAATCTGTGTACATTTTTGTCAGATCTTATCAATGTTTTCTCGGAATCTTTCTCAGAATCACAAATCTCTGTATTTTCACCAGATCTCAAAATATTTTCTCAGAATTTTTCTCAAGATCACCAATCTATGTCTATTTTTGCCAGATCTCATCAACAACTTCTCGGAATTTTTCTCAGGATCACGAATCTGTGTATTTTTGCAGATCTCATAAATTACTTCCTGTAATTCTTCTCAGAATCACGGATCTGTGTATCTTTTTGCCATCAATGTCTTCTCTACATTTTTCTCAAGAACACGAATCTGTGGGAATTTTTACTAAATCTCAAAATATTTTTTCGAAATTTTTATCGGGATCACGAATCTGAGTCCATTTTTACCAGATCCATAAATATCTTCCCGGAATTGTTCTCAGGATCACGAATCTGTGTGTATTTTTACAGATCTCATAAATATCTTCTAGTGATTCTTCTCAAGATCACGAATCTGTAGACATTTTTGACAGATCTCATAAATATCTTCTAGGATGTTTTCTCAGGATCATGAACCTGTATACCTTTTTGCGAGATCTTATCAACGTCTTCTCCGAATTTTTCTCAGGATCATCAATATGATCGTATTTTTACCAGATGTCATTCTTCTTAGAATCTCGAATATGTGTGTATTTTTGCCAAATTTCAAAATACTTTCCCGAACATTTTCTCAAGATCACGAACCTGTGTCTATTTTTGCCAGATCTCATCAATATCTGGTGGAAATTTTTCGCAGGATCACGAATTTTGTGTAAATTCTTACAGATCTAGTAAACATCTTCTCGTAATTCTTCTCAGGATCACGAATCTGTATGCATTTTTACTAGATATCATGAATATCTTCTACGATTTTTTCTCAGGATAACGAATCTAGGTACATTTTTGTCAGATCTTACAATGTTTTCTCGGAATCTTTCTCAGGATCTCGAATCTGTGTGTAGTTTTGCAGATCTCAGAAATATCTTGTCGTAATTCTTCTCAGGATCACGAATTTGTATGCGTTTTTTCCAGATCTCATGAACATCCTCTAGAATTTGTTTCTCCAGATCACGAATCTGTGTCTATTTTTACTAGATCCCATAAGTATCTTCCTGGAATTTTTCTCAAGATTACGAATCTGCGTGTATTTTTACCAGATCTCAAAATATTTTCTGGGAATTTTTCTCAAGATCACGAATCTGTGTATTTTTGCAGATCTCTTCTCTCTTCTCAGGATCACAAATATGTATGCAGTTTTGCCAGATCTCATGAATATCTTCTAGAATTTTTTTCTCAAGATCACGCATCTGTGTACCTTTTTGCCAGATTTTATCAATCTCTTCACGGAATATTTCTCAGGATTACGAATCTGTGTATATTTTTACAGATCTCATAAATATCTTCTCGTAATTCTTCTCAAGATCACGAATCTGTAGACATTTTTGACAGATCTCATAAATATCTTCTAGGGTTTTT